CTTGCATCCTAAGGTAATGTCTTTGAACTTCTAGTCAATCTTAACCACATTTCATTCATTCAACATAGGAGCGTTTCATAAGAACTCTAAGGGACAGACCAGGGGCATCTTCTCTGATCCGTCTCCCTTTTCCCCAGTACTTCTGGAAACTGTAACAGGGTAAGAAATGGCAATTTGGAGGTCCTGGATACGTTATGCTCCTAATCATGTCAAGCAAGTGCAGAAGTTAGTGCTACTTGGCAGTCCGCTGGGTTCTTGGGAAAGAAAAGGCAACGTTCATCTCTTCCTTTTCCTTGCATTCGTCTTACCCCAAATTATTTTACATCATCAGATTCTGGCAAAGCACTAACTACAACAGAAATCTATATATACTCATTGCAGTTAGCAAGTAGTGTACATGATCCTTCTGCACTAAACTGTAAATGCGTTGCCCTTTACTTGACAGGGGGCAGGCCATACAAAGTCAGTAAAAAATGTCTAAAAATACATTTCCCACCCTGAGACTCTGCGTCCACGGCTTGTTTCCTTCCCTCACCCAGTGCGAATGGTGCATCTTGGCTGCAGTAGTTGTTGTTTTATTGTTATTGTTGTATCTTGGAACTTTTCAGCACATTAGGGAGGCTTTCTAAAGCAAGATTAATAGAACTTAAGCATTTAAAAAAAAAGCATTTTGCCCAAACCGCAAGAAAAAGTTGACATCAATAGCCCTTTTTGTGCATCGTCAGCATGCCAGTGTCTCCCTAAATTAAATCTACTTTAGGTATTTTTTTTTTTTAATTCCCAAAACACTATTTCTTAGTGCCAAAGTAAACTGCAAAACGACAAGGAACCCCTAGGAACTTACATTTCCACTTGAGACCGTATGTCTAAATCACAGTGCATTTTAAACTCCAGTCAAGGAAATTTTTTTCCTCAGCCACAAGACAGACACACAGCAATGCATAATCGGCCATTCTCTGTCAGCACCCAGGGGTCTTATCTCTTGAAGATTTTGTTTGTTTTCTATGGCAAGTAGGAGAACATTTCCCTCATGCCAGCACAGAGGTTCCCTTCTGCACACAGACCTGGCCATGCACTTACCTGATAAAGTTCAGTATGGTCTTCTACTCATTTCCCACTGGTAACAGGAACTGCATATTCCAGGAGATACGCATTTCTTTCCTGTTTACACTCATCTTCCTTGGCCACTATTTTTACATCTAGATTAGGTTAATGTTTTGCCTCAGCAACAGCAGTGTATCCTGCACAGGAGGAATCTTTGTAACAAAGCTCACCTAGCTCAGCCCCGGGACTGCAGAGCTGTGGGGTGTACACAGATTATAGTTTATTACACTTAAATTTAAATACTAAGATTGCAATTGTCTCTCCCTTCCTCTCGAAATATACATTGCCAAATAAATAGTTTATATCAGGAAAATAGCCATCTACCTTTTCACATTTATGACAACGAATGATAGCTATAGACTTTATCAAATAATCGACTCCCTCTCCTAAAAACATGCCTAGATTTGACCTAAGGTAGGTAAAGAAGATGTCAAAAACTCTATCAGAATAGACGGTATTTTTACTGAAGTGTTGCCATTCATTGTTGATTGAGGTAATTGTGTTACTCAGAGGCTGTGCACATGGCATAAAAACTTCTGTCCCGGAGGAAATGCGGCGGTCATTTAATAGTGCTCAGCAATCTCACCAAACAGCTTAGGACAGGAAGGAAGGGAACACCGTACTAAATTAAAACTGCACAAAGCAAAATTTAGGGGGAAAACAGGCTGTAAGAGCCATCAGAATCAGAAAGAAAAGAGGCCTCGCTTTCAGTCTGTCTTCTGAAGGATGGCACCTCAAGCAGCGAAGCGCCCATTAGCACCACGCCAGGCTACTGATTCAGTATTACCTGAGAAGGAAGAAGGCCACCTGCTGAAGAATGTGCATAATTTGGGCTAAAAATGAACTGCTTTCATTGTGAAATGCAGAGTTTTCCTAGCAGGGTTTCCCCAGGAGCGCACCGTAGCCAAAATAATAGTTTGCACTTCACCTCCAAAGAATTTCACACGGGTCAGCCTCTAGAGCCAAACGAATGCATTATTTAGCAAGTTTACCAATGTGCTGCTGAATATTTCATTGATCTTGGTTTTACAGCCATTTCTGTTCACGCTAAAAGGAAGCATCGCTGAATGCCATTTTTACTGCTGCCGGCAGAGGAAAGTACGGCTGCCAGAGATGGAATGCCTCGTTGTCCTTGAATTTTAACAGCTTGTAATTTCTTTGGGTGCCTTATTAAAAGTTGCATGGTGCCATCTAGTTCGTGTTCAAAAATACGGTCGCTACGCACCCATATTTATTTCTTAGCAGGACAATCCAGCTTCCCCGAGTGCATGCTAAATGATGGGTAATATCCAAACTGAGGAGTAGAGATTTACTGACTCCCCTTTGACAAGTAAATACTAGTAAGCACTTACAAAAGTACCTCATTCTGTTAAGCCTTCTCGGGCAGCAGCTTCTAATGCTCTTACATATCATTCTCACCTCAGAGCCCACGCATCCACCGATACGCTTTCACGGGTGTCTGCAGCAAGACAGAACATTTCAGAGGAGCAGCAGCATCACTGTGCAGAGCTTGTATGTATTTGCTCTGCAGTTAAGGCCGAGACTGACTGTCCGTCATAAACCTAATAAACATAGACCCTTCAAGAGACAGGACTCAAAATCCAAAACCTGCTGAAGTGTTGAATGCTCTCCCAGTGTTTTTTTCCTTCACGACTTAATCTAAGACGCAGTTCTAAAATCTTCCGTGAGGCTGAATTATAGGGGGTTTAGCTTAGGGCAGCTCCGAAACATGATGCCACCAAATGACTGTGAGAAATCTGTGTTGTTAGCAGAGGAAAGCTCGTACGCTTTCTTGTCCTCAGAGGAATGCTAAGACTTAATGATTACAGCTGAAAGTACAAAGGTTTTTTCAGACTTGTTTCTAAGGGCACAAGCAGCATCTTACAGGCTGGAGTAATAAGCATTGCCTCGGGAGAGTCACTGCTTCTGACTTCCCCGGGCTTTACTTTATATGCAGAAGTTTACAACGAGTCAAAATACCTTCAGAATATAACAAGTACAGCCGGCATGTACCTGCAGCATCTGAGGAAAAAAGTCTTCAATGAAAAGCAGGTTGTCAGTCGTTTGTAGGTTCGCGTGGGTCCTGAATAAGCGGACACCATTAAGAACTCCTTTTCGTATAGACAGTGCAATATTTATAACTGATCACAGGTGAGAGGTGTCACTCTCTGCCAGGCAACAATTCCTGAACTTTTAGTAACTGTTTAGCTCAACGCTAGGTACATCTCTGAGACCTTAACTCTCGTACCTCCACGAAAAGAGACGTAAGCTTTTTAAATCAATTTTTTTTCTTTAGGAATATAAGGTGACAGGAAGCCTTTCTCTCAATCACGTGGGAATGTCACTCACTCCAGCCTTCTTAGCGATCACACGATGAACCACGAAAAGATGCACTTTAAATTTCTCGTTAGACAAACAGCATACTGCATGTAGTCTTCATTAAGATCGCATATGTCACCGATTATGCAAGCGTCATTAAGCAGTGAGTGAATACACCCACAGTCACAACTCTCTTTTGCCAATATCATGCAATTAAAGCGTGCGTATAGGAAGAAAAACAATGATCTGACGCTGTAGCACAGATGTAGATGGAGATGTGCACGTGCAAGATGAGTCCGCACCCCTTCTGCACGCTGTCACCGCGTTGTTGGGGCGGACCGCTGACTGCCAAGGATAAAAACTGAGGATTGCTTCGGGGCTCTGGTTCAGGATAAAGTAGCTGGCTCATCAGCCAGTGGGAACCCATCCCAGACCTCCCCTGTTCTCCTCAGTACGGAGCTATCTGCACAAGCTGAAGGAGGATGCCATAAGATCACATCTCTTTTTCATCCCGCATTAGCACACAAAGGCCCACAGGTCCCCTTCTGTACCTTCCAGACTGTTTGCCCATTCTGTTTTATTCACCACAGATTTCAGCAGCTTTAAATAACCCGATGATTTGCAGGCATGAAGAGGTTTGGGAGGAACCCACCGGCAAGTTCTTTGGGCCTCTCGGTCAGATTTTATAGCCTGGGGCCTCTTTCCTTTGAGCAGATGCGCCCATTCACAGACAGTGAATGGGACACGTGTGAAGAATTCATTTAGAAGCCAAGGAGCTGTATGTGCTAGGAACCAATTGGCATAGTTTACAGCTACGTGAACCGGAAGTGAGAAAGCACTTGTTTCTGTTCAGAGCAGCGGCCTATAATTGCTCACAAAACATACTATTGGGAAAGTCTATACAGAATAGCCGTGTCCTCAACCGGAGAGACCAGAAATCTCACCAAAAGCGTTCCTACCCATTGATGTGACACGTGAACGTAATCCCGAGCAATGCTGTAAAGAACCGTTCGTAAAGCTCCTCTTCGTATTTCACTACCAGGCAATTTTCTTTGTGCATCGTTGACCCACGTGGGGTCATTTGTCACATCGCTACATGTGACATGTAAACATTTTACATGTTTAACAAACTTTTTTTTTCTTTTTTTTTTTCTTTTTTCTTTTTCCTTTTTGCTTTTTTTTTTTTTTTTTTTTTTTTTGGACGAGGGGAGAGGGAATGTGGAGCAGACACCACGCAGAGAGGGGCTCTGGAAGCTGTTAAGGCTGGGGACGTTCTTTGGAAGGGTGTCGCATGAGATGCAAAGTGATCCGTTCGAACCGTTAGGCACAGTTATTTAACTTACTAGTGAATCCCACAACGAGGTGAGGAGAAGCGCTTAACGAACTTTAACTAAAAGTGCGGTTTAAGTCCCTAGTTCAGATCTGAAGAGCACGTGTCTAACTGTCAGCGTCCCCGGCCGGCCCTAACGAGCCACACCGGCGCTAACGAGGCAACGACTCCCAGGTGCCGCGGGGCCGCAGCTGCCCGGGCACAGCTGCGCCTCGTCCGCAGCGCGGGGCGGGTCCTCCCCAAAGCCTCTTAAGCTGCGCCGGAGGCCGCTGGGAGCCACGAGGGTGCTCCGCAGGCACACTGCTCGCGGGAGTAACGCGGCGGGCTCTGTTCCAATATCCTGTCCTTGCGCTGCTGGCGCTAGAAAGCCCCGCGATGGGCTGTTTTTAGAAGGAGGCCTTGGGATTCTGTGTAACGCTCTCCGTGTGTTGTTTCGTTTCAGGCTCTGGTGAGATGTCTCTCGGTGAAGATCAGCCCGAACCGGTGAGTCGTTCTGGTGGCAATGGGATCGCGGAGGCTGCCAGCGCTCGGGAACCGTTCAGGTCCGTCCGCCCTCCGAGGCAGGAGGCCGCCGGGCTCTCGCGGCGCTCCGTTCGGGAGCCGGCGCGGGGCCACCGCCGGGCTCCTCCGGCTTCTCGGAGCCGGTGTAATGTCGCAGCCCGGCTGCCGTCGCGTTCTTGGAGCGGGCTGCCGCTCAGTTCCCGGAGTCTTAGCGCGGTCCTGGGTGCTTTCAGCCCTTCCGGGCATTTTTTGTGGGGGCTTCGGTTCCTTCTGATTTCATCGGTGGGAGCGAACGGGACGGGGGTGTATTCTTCCAGTCTCCCAGCCGCTGGGAGTAAGAAGCGACGCAAAAGGCTGCTGAAACAAGTTTTCTCCTGTTGCAGGCTGAGCGAAAGCTGCAGCAGAGCCTGTCGTCGTCCCGAACCGGTGAGATAGTCGAAGTGGTGAGTAGTTTGGGGGTCACTGGTAAGTTAGCTGTTGTTGGGGTTGCGTAGAGCCGCTACTCGGCCGCTCCTGTTTCTTCGGGATCAGCACGGCGCCGCCGACGGGCTCCACGTGGCCGTATTAGAAGGGCCGGCGCGGGGCGCCGCCGAAGGGTTTTGCGGGTGCTTCAACCCCTTCTGCTTCCAGCGGTGGGCGCGAGCAGAATGGTACCACACTTTCCCTGCCCCTTATTCGTAACTTCAGGCGTGTGATTTCATTCCCATTACAGAGATGCGGTGGGACAGCTTGGATGACTGGAATGCTGTTGTGGATGGCTGAGTTCCTTATAGGAGAGACAGACGGGTGAGCTGGTCTTCCGGTGAGAGAACTAGATCATACTGAGCCCACTCCCTGCACCCCCTTGGAGGCTGTTCATGGAGCTCTTTCCACAGGGTTCAGGGCCAGAGTGGGGATCCTGCTGCGAGAGTCTATGGAACGAGGTAAGCAGTGTCCTTTTGTCCCTGACCTGTGTGTTGCCCCCGGGCTGGAGTTTTTGGCTGGGAGCAGGGTCAGAAGACACAAGTGCTTCTTGAGGTGCATCTCTATTTCTTGATTTCAGCTCTAAAGGTGTGTGGCTGGCCTGCCTCTGGAGGAATGAAATTTCCTGAGGGAGAGGTGAGAAGAGCAGCCTGCAGGGCTCCAGCGACTGTTACCTGGGGGAGCTTGGGGTCTTGGTGCTGTTTCTTGTAGCGTTGTTTCCGTTGGTGAGGTCCATTGCCCCTGAGGTGTGTTTGTCCCTCAGGTCCTGGTGCAGCTGGTGTCCTGAGAGGAAAGTCCTTCGTCCTGGGCTGGGAGCTGTACTGCAAACGTGGGAGAAGCGGAGTAGATTGCCCAGGTAGGCACTGTTTGTAGTAGTGTGTTCTGGAGGTGGTCCTTGGCTAGATCGCCAGTGCCCTTGGTGAGCGTATGTTGTTCTTCCTTGTCCCCAGAGTCCCTGTTTGGATCCTGTAGAGGGGGTGGCTTTTGCTACTGCACAAAGTGCTCTTGTGCAGCAGCATGACTGTAGGTTGCCGAGAGAAATGGGGGACGAGAGTTCAAAGAGGGGGGCAGAGAGTGGGTCCCCAGGGCAGTGCCTGCTGTAAGGCCTTTAGGAAGTGTTTTGAAAAATTGGAAGAGAAATTCTAGAACGAGGGATAAATATAAACAGAGAATGGTTAGATATTGTGGTGTTGTATGGCCTGAACCAGCAATTGCAGGGAGGAGAAGTATGTTGGCAGAAATGTGTCTGAGACTGCTGACAGAGTGAAGGGTAGCTGCTCAGATCAGCCCCTTTAACAGCCTCCCTGAACTGAGCTCTGTGATTAGCACTGATACTGAAAACAAGAAGTTCTGCCAGCTTAAGAAAGAACTGGAACAATGCAAAAGGGCCATCACAAATTCTCCTTTTCCTAACTCAAACTCCACTAACTCAATAAAACAAACAACATACTGCATACTTTTCTAAGCTATTAGAACCTATATCTTAAGGATGACCTGAAGGTATCCAGGTGGTAGTAGCAACTACCTTATTGGTTGAAGAGAGTATGTTTGTAACCTCTGGGGGTGTGAGGAGCGGATTTTGGGGGGTGCGGGGGGCGGTTGGGGAAAAATGAACGGGGGAGGGAATCTGCTTCTCCACCTCATTGAAACACACGGTGCCAAACCCTCCCCTGTGGAGTTGGAGTGGGCACAGAGTAATTGGCCCAACTTTGAGGGAGCTGTGGATCATATAAATTTTCTCCAAGTAAACTTTTATGGGGGAGGAAAAGGGAGAAAAAAACCAATCATTTGTGCAGTTCTAGGAGCTGCTGTTAGTGTTGCTGTAGAAATCTGTAGCGAACAGCCTGTGGCAGAAATGAAACTGTTATTTCAACCTTAAAGAAAGTGGTTACATACTTGCAAGACCAATTAGAAGATACTAGGGGACAGTCAGAAAAAGAGGAACACTTAAAAGCTCTCCTTCAGCCAGTCCTTGGAGAGCGGTTAGTAAATGAGAGGGAGACTAATGCTAGTTTTCCAGGTAGAGACTTTCCTCCAGGAGAAAATTTGGAGGCTGCGAGAGCCTAAAAAGAGAAATTGGGGAAAACCTGGCGACCCTTCTCTGCCCTCCGATAGGAACTGGGCACTTGTATGGAGAGAGCAAAGGTGGGTACTCTGATTTACTACACTTGCAGTGTAGCATAAAATTGTCACTGATGGATTTCATCCATCTTCCAACTTTGGTTCATTGGGGAGTGGGCAAGTGGGGTTTCTTTTTTGTTTTCTCCTTCAGTTATGCTTTCTTTAACTGTGGTTCCTCTGGAACTGGGAAGTTCCCTCTTTTGTTTTCCAGGTGCTAACAAATGTGGATCCTGCTGCTGTGCCCACGTATTACCTTCATCACCCTGCTGCTTTCTTTGGGATCCCTGTGGTATCATTATCGTTGCCGTTTCAGACAGGTATCTTCCTCTTTTTTTGTGTGTGTAATTGGTTTTGTTGACCCTATTATATTCCACGGCTTGTCACGGTCCCATGCCCGTATTGAGCTTAGCGAACGTGTGGGACCGAAGTCTAATTCTGACAGAGGCTTAACCCTTTTGACTGCAGTTGTGCCCAGTATTGGAATATATTGAGGAAACAAATGGGGCCAGGATAGTACTGGCAGACTCCTGCAGCTCTAAGGAGATGCTGGCCAAAGACTGAAAATAGGGTGTCAGATGTAACAAGCGGTCTACGTGCATTATGGCACCCCTGCAGTCTTCCCTGTTAGCACTGTGAACCAATTGGTGTATTATCTGAATGGGGGAGAGTTAATGTAAAAGACCAGCAGTTACTGGTAGATGCTCTTGTCTCAACTTGAAATAATATCTTTATTGTAGAATGTAAAGAAAACACTTTTCTTGTTTAAAATTCAAAGGCGATTTGGGAGAATGCAATCCAGGGTGAAAGATTATTTCCATCTCAGTGGCATGTAAGTAATTGTACTTGCGATCTGGTCAATAACTTTGCCACAGCTCTTTTTCTAACAATATGCAATGTTTTGTTATATGCTGTATACCTAATCTTTGTGCGGGGACTGAAGAACAATGGGGTTAAGCCCTACTCTTTAGAATGCAGAGTATGGACCCAACAGAACAGAATCAAATGGCAATCTACTGCCATTAGTTCACGTGTTGTATGGGAACAGCGAGGACTTATTTGTGAGAGTAACACCATTGAGACTCAGGGCACCTGTCTTGACCTGTTTTGATTTTGCTAGCATTATGGGATGTGACTTTGCCATTCCATTATGGGAAGTGTTTAGTTCTGATTACATCGTAACAGTTGTTTTTCTGCAGATGTATGGTAATCCAAGACTTGCCACCTACCCCAATTTGAAAGAATTTCACTTTGGTGAAGAAATTATTGCAATGTGACAATCTGTACCAACTGCTGGACTGCATTCAAGGTAATGGACAATTTTTTTTTTTTTTTTTGCTGTTAACCACGATGCAGAAGAGAGACACTGTGTTTTGAAAAGGGTGAAGAAGGATGGAGAACACCATTGGTGGGAAATGCTCTTTAGACAGTCACTAAAAGCAAGATGAGTTTTTAAATCTGTTCTTCACCCAGTTATGATCTTATGAAGCCTAGCAGTGAGGTAATGTTTGCTTGTAATCATATAATATGTGAAAGTCTGGCACATGATGACTGGCCCAGCTCAAAATACCCATGGAGTTTGAAAGTTGACCTAGGTGTCAGTTTACTTTTTGTAGCCTCTTGGTGATCTATGGGTATGAGTCTTACTTTTTTGTTTTTTGTTTTTCTTTTTTTCTTCAACATGTCTTTCCCTTCTCCCCTCACTCATGTTAATATTTTTCTTGAAGCCATTGCGGGACAGCAAGAACAAGCTTAGCACTGCCGAGTGGTGTGAGAAGGAGGAATGGCACCTGGTGAGCAGCACGCATCTGAGGTGTGACAAGGGAAGATAATGGCTGACTACTGGGAGCATAGATGGTGCTGTTCCTCCTGATGAATGGAAATACTCAGAGCTATCATTGCTGCGATGGACAGGACAGGATGCTCCTGATAATAGAGGTAGTAGGTACTGAAGAGTTCTGAGGAGGAACGGATAACCCATTTGCTGAAATGCAGCTGTGAAATCAAGGAGATATCACTGACCAACCTGCTGCCTCCCTGCAGACCCAGGAGACATTGCCGGATTCCCTGGTGGTGAGTGTTATTGCTTTTGTAAACTGTTTGCTAGTATTTTTCTTTATTATTGCTTTTTCCCCATGTGCCCTAGTAGCTTAGAACCTGTAATGCTGATTATGCTTTGATGTTAGATGTATTGTTGCGTGCTGGGAAGAAGGAAGGGTGAATAAATAGATTTCTTTATACTGGAGTATGGGGAATGGCAAGATGATTAGTTTTGATGAAGTATTATCAATTATAAGGTTGGGTTAGTAAACTAGTTTTCTGACTTTGGAAGTGTTGAATAGGTTGGTGTGTAAGCACAGAAGGGGGGTATTGTGAGAGGTAGGTTGTGTTTATTGCAGTGGAGATTACCAGTATTTACGTATGTAGTGTAGGATAAGTTGAGGCTGGGGTGATGTGTAATTGAATCAGGCACTAGGTGAGAGTCTGGTATGGGACAGAGGTAGTTGAAACTTGTTCTCCTATTGCTGTGAAAAGTAGGGACTGTAACCAAAGATATTGGGTTGGTAGCAGACACTGTATGGAAATGTAGTAAAGGTGTTGGAAAATTGTGAGCCTGAGCTGCTCTATTGTGGGTATGTAATGGAGGTGATTTCAATGTCTAGTTTTGCAAGTTCTCTCTTGTCAGTAGGGGGTGTGTGCCTGTTAGGGCAATAAGGCGTGAACTGTTCTTTGTGGATCTTCAGAAAGGTTTTTCTTAAGTGTTTCTTATGCAGTGAGGATCTGTTTGAGGGTTTTGGTGTATCTTGGTTTCAGTTCTATGTGTTTGCTGGAGCTGTTTTCTTTTTTCAGGAGGCACTTTGGTTTGCTTGTGGTGTTTTTTTTTCAGGTTGGCACTTTGTTTCAGTTCTATGTATGTGTTTGCTGGAGATATTTTCTGGTTTGTGCTCTTTGTTTTTTTTTTTTTGGTAGTCACTTTGGTGTGTATGAAAGGGGGGAAGGCACAGTGTGCACAGAGTGCACACTGTGCCTTCCCCCCTTTGCATGGTGCTGTTGACTGAGATTTGTACTATCTTGAAAGAGATTATTTTTTTTGGGTAGGGGGGTGGGTGCAGGTCAGTAACGGAAATTTTTCTTCTTCTGGCTGGGCCGGGGCAGCCCTGGGAAGGGCTGAGGGGGAGCCCCCGGTGTCTACTGGGGCTCCCTTGAGTGTGGTCTCTTCCCTAGATCCTGGAGTGGCTCTTGATGTTCCTGGTTGCAAAGGAATGAAATAAAGATGAGATAAACTGGGTTCTGTGTCCTGCTGAAGGAGAAAAGTCAGATTATTTCAAACCTCAGCTAAAAGCCTGTTTCAAGTACTCACTGGCATGAGAGGATGCTTGCTCTGTTTAGTAATTGAATGTGCCTGGAGGGCTGTTGGTGGATTTTGCTCCTGGAGAGGTTTGGTTAAGTGGCTGGAGGTAAAATGATCCTGTGGTGTGTATCTTTGTATGTGTCCTGTGTATGCTGTGGATGGTTTTTAGTATTGGTAAGCTAAGTAGGCTGAGGTGGTAAGGAAGGATGAAAGCTGCTGCTGTGCTCTGTAGCTTTTTGCTGTTACCTCTTAGGGTGAAGTAATTGGCCTAATGGGGAAATTCAAAATGAAAATTCCAGTGAAAGCTCCTTTTGGGTAGCTCTGAGGCCAATTCAACTACTTTACTTTCAATTTACTTTTTATAAGTAAATGCAGAAAACTCTGTGTGGGTAGGGTAAGGTTTCACTTTGCACCCACAAATGCACCCAATTGAGTCATGGGACAAGCAACTTAAAAACTAAAAATTTTTAAAATGGTGAAAAGCTAGGTCTACCTCTTTGATAAGTCTACTCAATTCAGCAAGAGGAGATCTTTCAAATAAAATTCCCCTCTTCTCATTTCAAAGTATGCCCCCAAAGAAGTGGTAACTAAGCTTACTTTTGCAAGGTGGGAAGTGGGTAATGATACTTCCCTTTATCAAGAAAAAGTATTGGATTGAGAAGGCTTTCTTTTTCTACTGCAAGTGCAAATGCTCTGCTGTGAGTGGGGAACTCGGGCGCCTATGATATCTGTGCTAAAATGGAACAGTTAGACTTAGCTAGCTCAGGTTTTTGTGGTGAAGTGGATACCTGACCATCTCTGACTTAAAACAATGGTAAATCCTTGCTTACCGCCGAAAAAACAGGGTGCGCTGTCTTTCTGTGCTTGGGCCTGGGTCCCTTGATGCTGGCATTATTTATCTTGGGGAATGTGAAAAGTGAAACAATGATTGCTTTGTCTGTTGGCTATTTGGCATGGCAGCACGCTCTGTAAAAGAAAGAGGGAGACAAATCAGTAATGGTTTTTAGAAGTTATCTACTGCAAGTGTACAGTGCATCAGGCTTGCTTGGTGTGCTGAATAAAATTGCCATCTGCATTGCCACTGTTTGTATTGCTGCAGTTGTACTTTTTGGATAGAAATGTTTGTTTAATTCAGGAGAGCTTTCCAAGCTCAAAGGTGAGTGTGCTCTCCTGAGAGTGGAGTGGCAGTGGCTGTCTTGCAAGAAGAACCTTTGCTTTCTTTACTTAAGATAAGTTCACAAAAAACTCTGTTGTTTTCTTGCTAGGTAACCTGAGCTTGTGCTTCTTGGCAAAGCTCTTTGTGATGAATCTCAGTAAGTTAGTTCCTGTGGACCTTTGGCCCAAGCTGGGACTGAACTCCAATGCAATTGACAAAAATACTTAGTGTTCTGCCTTGAGCTTATTACCAAAAGAAATAGAACAGTGGTGAGGTTCTGCCTCTGTGTTAAATGTATAGTATATTGTATCTTTCTGCAAGAGTCTGCAATTAACTGGCTTTGTGTTTGGTTAGTTAATGATAAATAGCAGCTGAATTAAAAGTGCAACATGTAGACAATTCAGGCCAGAAAATGCAGTTGTTAGAGTTAGATGCAATACTGATTTCCTAATGACTTGACTTCTGCACTTTCAATAAGTTATTTTACTCACAAGTTCAAGGTGAAGGGCAGGTTCTCGATGGTTGAGACCTGTTTTCCCATGGCGATGTCTAAAATGCAGATTATGGAGAGGAGAAGTTTGTGAAGAGCAAGTACTAACTCGGTTGTCTCTTTTGCTTTACAGAATGACAAAGCGTCCCATGTTGGAAAGGCCCCCTGTCTCCTTGCCCTGTGTGGCATCTGCTGGGACTTCAGCTGCGCTGAGTGGCAACCAAATGCTTTTTCAACTCTGGCAGCCGTGGGCTGTTGCTGCTGCTGCCTTGGGAAAACTTGTTATGATACCTCAGCCCCTCTTTCAGACAAGTTTTTCCTCAGCTCCCATCTGACCCTCCTCTGACTTAATGTGAGGCTCTTCCCTCCCGCCCTCTTGCTAGCTCAGGGGAAAAGAAGCTGCAGCCTTCTTTCAGCTAGTTGGAGAGAAGGAGTTTGAGCCCTTCCTCAAATGCTTTTTGAGCCCTTTATTTCTTTGTTTTACCCTGTATTGCCCAGACCTGCATGCAGCGCTTGCAGCAAGTCTGCATCGCAAACTGATCCCTTCCTTCGCTTGGCGGGTAGCGTCCCCATGTGCCCCAGGGTGCGGTCAGCCTTCCTGGACTACGACTGTATGCTTCTGGCTTGAATTTAACCGGCACTCAACTACAGCCCTTGGATTCCTTCCTCCAGGGCAGCTCTCTGGCCTCGTCCCTGTCTCCATGTATAACTGGGGTTGCCTGGTCTCAGGTGCTTGCTTTTGACAAGCTTCAGGTGGTGGGTGATCAAACAGGTATCAAGGCAGGGCCTTTCTATGCCTGACCAGACTGCAGCTCCTTTTGTATCATCGGCAAGCATAATAAAAACACATTTGACTCCTGGGTCTTGATTGTTTGTACAAATACCAAAGGGAACTGCCTGTGATAAGAAGCTCTGGACTCTGGCTGCTGTCTGTCTCGCAGCCTCTCACAGTCTCGCTTATTCACACAAATGCTTGGAGCCTCTTTTGTATGGGGCTGAGTCACTGCTTAGATATCTGTATGAAGAAGAGAAAAAGAAAAAGCTGTTTTTTGATGTAGGTTGTGGTTTCTACATCGGAGGCAATATGTGTGTGGAACTTAACTGCAAGAGAATACATCTCCCTTCTGTAACACTAGTGTTCTCACAAGGGGGGGTGGCTCTGAGTGGTGATAAACTTTCAGGAATACTTAAGAAACAAGATACAGTAACTACTGAATCAGGATGTGTTAAGAGAGCTGAAGACAATGGATGCATCCCTCTAACAGAGGAATTAAATATGCTCTGTCTTAAAACAGTTATGAACTCATAGCTACCATTAAAATTCTCCCACCCTAAATTGGATATTTTTAACTGCTACAGTCCAAGTCATTTCACAGTTCACCTTATTAGCATGTATCCACGACCATTACTATCCAGAAGGGTTGAGTGAGACATACAGTTTGCAGCTACAAAGCCTAAAATCACCAGAAAACCCTCTAATGGTCCAAAGTGTTCAGAACAGAGCTTCCAACGTATGTACCGGTCTCTTTAATGTCTTGCCTTGTAAATGCAAGTATAAACTCTGCTTACCCTCACTTTAGCTACAGGCCTGGGCTACATGAGTGTATCCCTCCATCGGTGAGGAGAGGAAAGGATTTCCTTTCTTTATAACTTTTATGACAAATCAGAAATAAAATCCTCAGTATTTAATTCATGTAACCTTGTCAGCAACAAATGGCATTTGACCGTGAACGGTTTCAATAATTTGATGTTTGCTCTGTCCCTGTCGCATGAGGAAGCTCTAATCACCTCTCGTTTCTGTGCTTATGTGTGGTAAAGTCCACAGTCACCCCCCTTCCACATCAACTCAGGTTACCCCGCTGAGAAGGAAAAATCCTCTCCCCAAACCTACAGAGTGAGTGTCAAACTAAAGGGATTTTATGCTTGAAACAGGAGTTCTCATACGCTTCCTCACCCAATTTAGTCTTTCTCAGTAACTCACAGGTTCATAAGTAAGCACTCAATGATAAACAGCAATAGAAGGAACAAAAGTAAGGAAAGAGCAAAGATTAAGATTTCATCTTCGTAACTGAACCGGGACCGGCTCAATGAAAAGATGTCACAAAAAGAACAGTGCTCACCCATCTCTGAAGATCTAGGCTCACAGAAAAACCCCACAAACGATGGATCTCCTGTAAGAGATCCTTCCTCGGCAGCAGTCAGCCCTTAAATGAGGTTTCAGAGGGGCGGAGGCTGGCTGCGTTCCTTCCCTTCCCACAGGTAAATCGCTTTCACCTGTGCTCCCAAGCCTGACCCGGTCTCTTCTTCCAGGTGCTCAATCAGTGGTTCTGGCCCTGACTTGAGAGTTCCCTTACAGTCATGCAAGTCTTAGCACTTACAATACAAGCTGTTCAGACTACAGAGACACACCGGCCTCGAGAGGTCAGGCAGAACTGCTTCCCAGAGGGAAGAGGAATTGCTTACCCTTCTCAATATGTTTCCCTAGAGATGAGATCCCACAAACTTACCTAGCCTAGCAAAAGTGCACGAGAACGAGACAAATGAATTCTGAGGAAGAAAACTGACTGCACCGGTCAGGACTGCTGGGGAAGACGACTATGGAGATGGACGGGCGACAGGCTTTTCCCTTGTTCTGCTTTAAAGAGTAGTCTGATAAAGGAAGACCGTCAAACATCAGAGCATGCGCCTGAGCACGTGGTCTGACTCACTGAACCCTCTTCTCATTAATTAACGCTAACAGAAAAGGCAAAATCTAAGGTCTCCCTTAAAAAAAGCTGAAGGAAGAATTTGTTCGGTTCCCAGACAGGACGATCATCTACCTCTTAAAATAAATTTACTTGCCATATCCTCAGTAACTAACTAGTTTCCAACCAATCTGGTTACCAGATGAAAATTTGCTCCAACTCAGAGTATTTTACTCTTTTTTCAAAAACCAAACAAAACCCAAAAATAATAGGAAAATACCTTTTCACGCAGACCCGGTTGTTAACACCGCAGTACATCCTGTGCTCAGAGAAGTCTTACTTTAATTCACCACACACGAGACTCACGCCGTTACGAAGGCCTGCCTGCAAAAACAGACAGGAATTTCACAAGAAATACACATCCATAAATATGTTCTCAAATGCTAAATTATAAAAGAGCATAATAGGAACTCCTCAAGGATGCTTTTCTCCAGCCCCCAGCAGTAGAAATCCATCTCAGAAGGCAGGAAACCAACATGCAACAGAGCAATAACCTGCCAGGGAATAAATGGGAGGAAAGAAGGAGAAAGCGAGGGCAGGGGAAATAGGGAAGCGTCGCCTATGAAGAATGCGGAGATGCTTTTCAGGCATGTGGGGACACATCGACCGACACACAGATGAAACAGAACACGGTACGAGATAGAAAAAGTAACAAGAAAGGATTTTTAACGGTGCGCTGCTCAGAAGAAAAAGGCCAAGGAAAGTATACTCTGATAAGCAAGAAAGGAGAAAAGGCAACAATGGACATAGGGAAGGCTGAGGCGCTCAATGAGTTTTTTTGCCTCAATCTCTGCTGGCAGTCTGGCTTCCCATCTCTCTTGTGTCCCTACGCTTCTGGGTGGGGGCTGTGGGAGCAAAATCCCACAAAAGCCCGTGGGGGTCTGATAGCACCCATCCCAGAGCCCCAAAGAGACTACCCAATGCAATGGCCGCACTGTTCTCCATCACATTTGATAAGACGTGGGTGTCAGACAACTCCCCAGTGATTAGAAAAACATCACACGCCCATTGTTTAAAAGCCCCAGCTGGACTCCTGTACCCAAGTGTGAGAAATAATGTGGACCTGTTGGAGTGGGTCCAGAGGAAAGCCACAAAGGCGAGCAAAGGGCTGCAGCATCTCTCCTATGAAGAAAAGCTGGGGATGTTGGGTTTGTTTATCTCAGAGAAGAAAAGGCCTCACCGTGGGCTTCCAGCACTTTCAGGGAGATTATAAACAGGAGGAAGACCAGCCTTCTATGTGGTCTGTATAATGCTACAACACAGTAGAAAGCACAGCATAGGAACAACAGAAAGATGGCAAAGTCCTAGGCTGCAGCAAACAAGGACAAGCCCAAACACAGGAGCTGCCACACCTGCACACACAAACAAGCAAACAAACAAGCAAGCAAACAAGCAAGCAAACAAGCAAGCAAACAAGCAAGCAAACAAGCAAGCAAACAA